GGGCAGGCACTCATCTCAAAACAAAGTCTTTCTGCAATGGAGTTTTCTCTTAGAACATCCAGCCAGCATTTGGCAACACTTTTGATTAAAAATGGCACTAGAATTACGTAACCTGTTCTTCAATTCCACACCCACCATATTTTGTACAGAGGGGCCGCACGGCTCAGCCCGGCCCAGCCTGCAGTGGCGGTGGGCAGCAGTGGTGTGCCCCGTCGAGGCGCCTGGGCAGGCATCAAGAATGACATTGCTGTGGAAAGTGAAAATGGTAACCGGGCGTCCCGTCCCGACCTGGCCCTGCCCGCGGGGTGACGGTGCCAGCAGGGTGGCCCTGGCGCACAACCCGCCGCTCCCCGCAGCCTCGCCAGAGCCGCTGTGCACTGCCGCCTCCCTGCTCGTCCCTGCTCAGAGCAATGCTGCCTTCCCCAGGAACCGTGAGCCCCTGCCCTGAGCCCGGGAGGGCCTCAAGGGTGCTCCAGAGGGGGGGAACCCCCACCCCCGGAGAAATTGGGATGCGTGGCCTCTGTTGTGTGCTTTTGTACGGGTAATCAGCTGGGAAATGAGGAGGCATCGCAGCACGTCTTCACTTCAAGTGTGGAAGACGTTGCGCTACTTTTTTTATTATTATAATTTATTTTTTTAACCCGCTTTCTATTAGTTGTGAGTTTTAAAGCCTCGACTCCGTAAAGTTTTTTGTAGCTTGGAATAATAGGTTTTAGAAAAGCAAACCACAAGCGCTTTGGATCCCTCCTGTCAAAAGAAATAAAAGAGCACAATTCAGGGCAGGGGGAAGAGGTGGCAGAGGGAGATGTTTCCCATGTCACCCCAAAAAGAGTGCAGATTCAGCATGCTGCCAACAAAGGGGCACACTAGCTAGGCGCTGAAGGGGACGAGTTACCTGCAGAACATACTGTCAGCCAGTATGAAACACACAAAATCAGCACAATAAAAGCTGGAACTTTGGAGAAACTTGTGGAGAACCTTCTGACAGCTTTTGGGGATAATGATTTCACCTACATCAGTATCTTTCTGTCAGCATTCCGTGCCTTTGTTTCGACTAAGGAAGAACTGGAACTTCTTGACAGATATGGAAACCTGGAGACATCAAGCTGTGAAGAAGACGGAAGCCAGAATTCCTCTGAATCCAAACCAGTACTCGACAGCAATAGCATCAATCTTACGAGCCTGGCTTGATCAGTGCTCTGAGGATTTCAGAGAGCCACCCGACTACCCGTGGTTGATGAAGTTGCTGGATTACCTGAAGAGGAATATCCCTGGCTCTGACCTGAAGAAGAGGGCACAGAACCTCTTGGATCAGTTCCAGAACCAAGAAGTGGAAAATGACGATGGGTTCTATATCACTTCCCTCTGTAACCTGTGTGATGAAGAGGAATTGGAGATCAGCAGTCCAGACGAATTCTCTCTTTTCCAAGCAGGCCGTGTGGCAGAACAGTTGACATACATGGAGGCAAAACTCTTCAAGAAAGTTGTGCCCTGCCACTGTTTGGGATGCATCTGGTCTCAAAGGGATAAGAAAGAAAACAGGCATCTGGCACTGACCATCAGGGCTACCATCTCTCAGTTCAGTGCCGTTACCAAATGTGTTGTCAGCACTATCCTGAAGGACAAGGAACTCAAAACACAGCAAAGAGCCAAGATCGTTGAGAAATGCATTACTATTGCACAGGAATGTAGGATCATGAAGAATTCGTCCTCCTTGAGGACCATCATTTCAGCACTGCAGACCAACTCCGTCTATCAGCGGAAAAAGACCTGGGGGTGTGTTTCAAATGCTGATGTTCAAAGGGCTGTCTGATATCTTCTCAGACCATGACAATTATTTGACAAGCAGGGAGCTGCTGATGAGGTGTACAGGAGAGAGATCAGTATTTTTATTGATTGATTTATTAATTTTTATTAATATTTTTATGTTAACAGCTGCTTACCGAACTTCAGTCCCAGGGCAGCTGCCTTTGGCTTGTTTGTGGTGGCCTGCACCAACAAACCGTGCAGCAGCGGTTTGCTTCAGTCTCCATACAGTTGTAGGTCTCCAGAGGGAGAAAGGAGGCAAAACTCACTCTGCTGGCAGGCCTTGTCTCTTGCTTTTCTTCTGGATTAAAAACAAAACAAACCAAACCAAAAAGGATTACCTTGAACTTGCTGCACTGGAACATTGTGTTAAACACATTAGTACTGCGGCGAGTAGTGTAACTGGCCAGATCCTCTTCTGATGTAAGCCTGTATAATTGTGCTGAAGGCTGTAACCTTCACTTGGCATAATGAGAAATTACTCCCTTGTGGGAAAATTATGTCCTGGTCATACCGTCTCTTTAAAAAAAGCCACAAAATGTGCTTAAAGATTTCTTGGAAACGTGAACTAGATGACCTCCCGAGGTGCCTTCCGACCTGATTTGTTCTGTGTTTCTATGCTGCTGCTGTTTGTTCATACAGTATTTGGCAGGATAGAGTCCCAGTTCCTAACTGAAGCCACATTGTGCAGGGCAGCGATACATCCCACTGAGCTGGAGGAGGTGGAAGTGGAGTGAGACACAGCCACAAGATCAAGTGGTGTGTTACAGCACAGGGTGTGTTACTGTCAGCCTGGATTACTGAAACAGCTTCAGCCTCTTTTTCCTCTCTGTGGCAACCCCAAATCTG